GCTGAGGGATAAACTGCTGAGCTTTAATTGCCTCAGGAGTGCTCTTCACACTGGAAGTTTTCCAAAATACCGTGGTGAAAGTTTGCTCTGTTTTGACCAGTGATAAAGTGAGATGAATTGGGTTCCCAGAAGCTTCTTGGATTTGTTTGAAAATACAAAGTGCAAGTCAGCTGTAATGAAACAACTACATGAGTGCAAAAAGCTGCTTGTGTGGAACTAGAGACTGGTGAATCCCTGTGGACGTCTCCAAGACCTTGCAATGTGCAAATTCCAGTCCTGGTGGGAGTGCACCTCTGATGATTGGGAGTTTTCATTCACAGTGGGCCTTAAAGTAATCTTTGGAGAAAACAACTCTTCTCCTAGAAGAGATGCCTGAGGTGTTTCACCAGCTGCTGACTGCTACACACCCTCATATCTGCCCCCGGTGAATGGAAGGATTGTGCGCCTGTGCACATGCACGCACATGTCCCTGTGCCCTGACCTGCTCCCCGGCAGGGGCACCGGAGGGAGAGGGAGGGGGCCCCCCACTGGCTCTCACCTACGGCCACCCAAAACCATAATCTGCCTCTGGCTGTCAGGAAGTTTTCCTGTTATTTGGTCTAAATTTTCTCTTTCATTCCATTAGTACTATTTATACTCCCTTTTAAGTTAAAAAAAAAAAAAAAAAAAAAAACAACCTTTTCCCTCCTTGGTGCTTACATTTGCATGCTTGTGGTTTAGTCATTGCTCAGCTATACCAGTCACATTTAGCACTTTTTTTAAGCTTTCCCTTCAGATTAATAATTTTTGTTGCTTTTCTCTAATCTGTCCAGTTTCTTTTTTTCTACTCATGTCCAGAATTGAATGTAGTATTCCAGATGCAGTTACAGAGCACTATAGAGAGACTGTTACTCTCTCTCATGACATACTTGTGGGTGGGTGGGGGGGGGCAGGGCAGTGCTCAAAATTACATTTGTTCTATTTTGCTGCCATATCACATTACTAACTTGCATCTAATTTTCTAGATATCTCTTTATTACTGCTTTTCAGGTTCCTTTTTTGTTTTGAGTATCTGTGTTTCCAATTAGTACTGTCTATCAGGCAAAAAAAGAGTTTGCATTCCCCACCCCACCCAAATCCTCATTTGGTTATTTCCTACCCATACTTATAAACACTAGGGCCCAGATCCACAAAGGGATTTAGGCATTACAATCCCTAACTCTTAGGTGCCTAGAAAAAAAAAATCAGTGGAACAGTAATAGGATCCATAAAGCCCTATACAAAGAATGGGGAGAGACTGCCTTAAAATGCTGCCCACAAAAGCCAGCAAGCTAGGTGGAGAGCCACCTAAGCTAGCTAATGACAGATGCTGATGAGAGGGGTATGTTCTAAGCCCGTCCCATAGAGAGAGGCGCATAAATCCAGATTGCAAGGAGGTGCCCAACTTCACTTGCCATCAACAGCAGAGAACCCTCTCTCCTGGAATCAGACAACTTAGGGATCTCCTGGGGAGGGGCCCTCACCATGGCACACTCCCAGGCAGCCTAGCACAACAGTGCAATTACATCTGTCTGAATTTCTCCCATTGGGGTCTCAATAAGTCCAACAAATCTTATGTATATTGAACAGTGCCCCCTCAAGGCTGTAGTTTATTTAACCCAAAGGCAGAATGATATGCAGGCCTCTACCCCAAAGTCTGCAGCTAGAGAGGGAGGGGGCTGAATTAACCTTAGTCCATCAACCCCATTTATGTTCATGTCCCTTACCAGTGAGATCTCTTGACCCAGAAACCTCTTCTTGAACCAGGGACTCTTATCATCTTCAGAGGAAGGCTCTCTTCTCTTGGGTTAAGATCCCCAGATGTTCTGAGAAAGGGTCTCCCAACATACAATTCTTCTAATCTGGGGCTTTTGCTACTTGATTAAATCCTTCCATGAGAACCAGGTTCTGCTGAGACTTGGCACTCCTTCCTTTCAGAGCATCTCCCACCTAAGAGCATTCTTACAGGTACTTAGTTTCTTTTCCTAGTAAGCTCCCTTAATGGCTACCCCATGAAAAAACATCTCACATTGGAAGCTTCCTTGTTCTGGGTTCTGCTTTTCTCCCCAAGAGCCTCTGTTCTTTAGTAGTGTCTAGTGGGAGTAGCTTCCTTTTATCATGCCTGGTGCTTCCTTTCCTAATTAACTGCCTACCAATTACTCAGTGAGTTAATTAGCCCCAGGTTCACCTGAGTTACCTCATTTCCCCTGGTGGAGCTTGTCAGAGATAGGCTCAGCTCCTGAATCCTATTCAGGGCCAGCTACCCTCTGACAGCGCCTGAGCCATTTCTTGTGAGAATGAATTAGGTGTATGCCTCTTTCCACACAAAATGGGGATAGTCATAGTACCCAACTTATAACTTTTAGCTCAGTGGTTAAAGCACTCATGGGGGATGTTGGAGATCTAGGTTAAATTCCTCCTTCTGCCTGATGGGGAGAGAGGATTTGAATAGTGGTCCTCCACCTCTCAGGAAAGTGCTTTAACCACTGGGTTATGGGATATTTTGATGTGGGTTGTTCTCAATCTGGATAAATAGTCAGAGGGCCACAGAGAGACCTAGGTGCTGGAACTAGGGGTGCTGTGGGTGTGGCAGCACCCACTGGTTTAAAGTGATTTCCATCATATACAGGGTTTACAGTTTTGTTTAATGGCTTTCAGCACCCCCATTATAAAAATTGTTCCAGCATCTATGCAGAGAAACTGTGAGAATGACTCTATAGCTTGGTGGCAAGGATACCTGTCCACAAGATGGGAGACCTAGGAGCCAGTCCCCCTGCTCCAGTGACTCTAGTTATTTATCCAAAGTTGGAAAACTTCAACAAGAGAGACTGAGAGAGATCCACACCAGAATATCCCATAGCCCGCTGTTTAAGGCACCACCACCTCCTCCTCCATTTTGAATGAGGCCTGTTCCAGTGGGCATGCTTTAAGGACACTTACCAGATTGGGCCCGGCAGGGAAGATCGGTGAGCAAACACCCCTGGTTTGTAGATCCTGCTGAGGTTTAGGCGTGGGACAGGCCTGCACATGCCGAAACATAGAAATTTAGGTGCCTAGGGAACTTTCACAGTGGAAACATAGGCCCCTAGTGACTGTAACTACCTATAGCATTAGGCAACAACAAAGTGGAGGTTGTGTGAACTGCAGTGTTGCCTAAAACTGGGACTTATGCACTTAAGTCCATTTGTGGATCTGGACCTAGATCCTTTCATATTTTTTCTGTATATTCACTTTTGTTCAAGACCCCTCCCTCTCAACATATTATCAATTGGTAAGTTAATTAATCTGCTGTTACGCCCTTCTTTCATTGAGGACCAGAACAGACAGAACACTGAAAAGTGACATCTTGACACAGTGCTGTAGTTTGTTGTTTTTCATTACCTTTTGTTTATGTTCCTTCAATAAACCTTCACTCCACACAGTGCTGTTATCCAAACTGATTTTAATTAATTTGGGAGCATAGTTCAGGAGACTAAATTTCATATATTCATCTCTGAGTCGTGCAAGAATCCTGTTGTATTCTTCCGAGTTCTTAAAGAATTTCACTGGTGGATCGCAGCATTACTGGGAGCCTTTCTTGTCCAAAGCAGACCACAACACGTCAAACTTAACATCTGTGTGCTAAAGGGTACACAGTAAACTTTGGAGTATGTAGCCCCACAGCATGCAATAGCTCCTAACCTAAAAGAGAGACCAATAGGTCTGGTCACCTATTGAAATTGTAGGGTAGAAATGGTCTGTGAGGAAGGAGTAGAGTGAATTTTCTACACAGCTTAGTTTATTAAGTTGCACAGGAACTCCATCTGTTTTGAGTTGAAAATCTTCTCTTCTGTCTGTAGCTAACTACATTAAATGGATTTTTTGTATTGTTTCCAGAGGTTGCCTGATCAGTCAAGTAACTTGAACCCAGAGCTGAGAGCCAAGAACTCCTGAGTTCTCTTTCTGATTTTTACCACTGTCTAGCCTTAAACAAGTTACTTGTGGCTCAAGTTTCAGGCCTTTAATCTCCTGGACCAAATTCACTGCTGATATAAGCGAATGTGACTTCATTGACATCAAGGATTTGCAACAAATTTGGTTTTCTGTCATTTCCCAACTGTAAAATTGAGACAATATGACTAATTTACCTTGGAGAAGTGTTGTGAGGATAAATTAGTTAATAAACCTGTTTTAAGAAGAAAAGGTCAAGTATTTTTATTTAGTTGAATAGATAAGATCAATGAGTAAGTGAATGTGCTGAGCATTTTATATACAGCAAATGTGCTTATTGGGTCTTTTTATGTATTTATTTCAGATTTCAGTTGCTTTGGGAACTTCTACAGAAATACAATACAAACATGTAAACAATTCCATACACAGGAGACTACCCCTGCGACTGCTTAGATATTTTTACCCAATATAATAACAACCACCCCCAGCGGCCCCAAGACTAACTGTTCCCTCCTCACAGCCTAGAATCCATAAGCCTTCTCAGATTCCCAAGGGTAGGCTTTATCATGTAGAAAGCTTTTAATTTGTTATCCTTGCATATATCATTATCTAGAGGAAAACATTAGATAAGACTCCAGTTGGAATGATGGAAGCTTAATATTAAGCAATATATAATTCAAAGCTGTTTTTTTAAACCATTAAGATGATTGCCCAAATATCTGACACATTTTAATGTCTAATTCCCAGGGCATTGGGTCAGAGTAGCTCTAGAGATTCACAGACTTCCTCTTTTTCATGGTTGATTACCCTGAACAGCAATAGTACATTATAACTAATATTCATGGTGTAGAGTATAATGATTTATATTATCTTCATGTCCTTGAAATACATTACTTTAATGAGTGAGTTTGTTGAGGATCATATGTCTCTAGAGTCATTAACTTAGCTTGTGTATTGTAATACAAGATATATATTGTGCTTCTCATGTCTCCCACAATGATAACTAAATATATGACTGCATTCTGACTTGCAATACATCTTACCTATTGTAGGCAGCAAGTTTAATGCAGAATCCTCAAGTTCAACAACTGTAAGTATTAACATGGAGTATCAGTGAAAAAAGATGCCAGTGGTGTCTGAGTGGGCTAGCAAATCAAAAGCAAATGGCAATAGATTACTAAAATTTGTATTGTGTTCTTCTTATTATTGCCTTTACAGCTATACTCTTTTTGTAACTAGATCTACCACAGTTTAGTTTCCCCTACCGCTCACTTAATAACTAGTACTCTTCCTAGTAACCCAGCAAAGAATTGCAGTTTGTCACTTAAGATGGGGTTCTCAAACTGGGAGTCGGGACCCCTCAGGGGGACATGAGGTTATTATATGGGGGTCGCGAGCTCTCAACCTCCACCCCAAACCCCGCTTTGCCTCCAGCATTTATAATGGTGTTAAATATATAAAAAAGTGTTCTTAATTTATAAGGGGGGGTTGCACTCAGAAGCTTGCTATGTGAAAGGAGTCACCAGTATAAACATTTCAAACCCACTGACTTAAGATAATACCACCACAATACCAATGCTGTGTTAACTATTGTAGAATGTCGGGGATGATGTCCAATGCCATTGGTGGCCCTGCTGCAGGTGTTGGTGGCCTAACTGATCTGTCAAGCCTCATACATGCGTAAGTGTTGTGAAGATTTACATACTATTTTAACTACCTAACATTTGTAGAAGCAGTACTAAGCTGCCGTTTAAAAGAGACAGGGCCCAGCTGATTTTTAGCCTTTGTATTTCTGATAACCTTAGATGATTAAACTTTACATCTTACTCTTCATTATTCTGTTTACTTACTTTGTACACTTCATTCATTCAGTTTGAACAAGCAAACTGACAGCTCACTTTCACTTTCTGGTGCTCATGTATTATTTGCTTTTTAGACTCGGCTCATTAAAAGTGCCTGTTTAAATTTTTAGGTGCTTGTACATTTTTCTTCCAAATTGCATTAGACCAGCCTCCTCCAAAAACTTCTCAGTTCCTTGCAGCTAAAGTCCTGTTCCCTCAAGCCATATTCAGCTTACCCACTTGAGGAAAGGCTGTGAGAATAAATAGGTCTTGTGGAGTTATCTGAAATTCAGCAAACTCAATCTCTGTCAGACCTAGGGCTGCAGTGAGGATGCAAGGCTGAAAATATCCTGCCACACCAGCTTCCTCCCATTTAAACTGGGAGGGGCTGCTGCTTCAAGCAACACCACATGAGGAGAGAGGTGGTTTCTACAGTAGCCAGGACCATTTTAATAGTTCACATTATTGGCAACAAAAGTGCGAATCACTCTGGCAAGGACCCATTCCCTCCCCACCCCCAAAATGGCAGCCTTCCTGCCCAGTGCACATCAAATTAAAGCAGTATTGGTAGCTACTGCTACCTGGACAAAATTCTCTCAAGAGCTTATTCCTGGAGTAACAGAGTTCTTCCAGTTGTTTTTCCTAGTGATCAAGTATTTCAGTTGTCTCATCTGAGGTTAATTTCAGCCAGATGGCTCAATACAAGCCACAATCCTGGCTAGTCACCACATAAATGCAGATCAGAGACTCTTTGGGTGAAGTGAAGTCCACTTGTGGAGCTGGTTATTATCAGCATAATGGAGCCTATGTTACCTCACATTCTCCCAATCGCCTCACCTACACATGCACAAAATGGGTAGCAGAATACATCTCTGAAACTCCACATCAGATTGTCTTTAGGCTAGAAGAGCAATTGACACAAATTGCCTACTGGCATCTTTTGGAAGGAAAGGAGCAGAGTCATGCAAGAGCAGCTTTATTTACTAATGTTAGTGTCTGCAGGTGAGTCAACAATAGTTCTCATCAAAGGCAGCTGATGGATCTAAAGACTCACCATAGACACATCTCCATCTATCATCAGAACAGAATTCAAATAGTAAAAGCTATAACACCATGATTATCATTTTAATACAGATCATCCTAGTCATGCTTGCTTTTGCCTTCATTTACATAACATAGCTTCAGCTATCATAAAACTTGATGTTTTCTGATGAGTGCTGCCTGCCAGTTATTTTTCACTTGTTGATTTACAAAAAACTGTTTAACACAGGGGACAGCAGTTTGCACAACAGATACAACAGCAGAATCCAGAGCTCATAGAACAACTGAGAAATCATGTCCGGAGCAGATCTTTCAGTGGCAGCACTGAAGAGCATTCCTGATTTAAAGGAGGCATGTGGTTGTAGAACTAGAAATGTGAATGGTATATAATCCCAAAATGCACACAGTAGCTAGTAGCAAATGCATCATTGTAACTATTCTGCTTGGACATGAAACAGAAAATCCTTTGTGTCTGTTTGTTAAACAAGAATAAATCTGTTAAGCAGATCTGTTGCACACACGTTTGAACATATCATGTATATATAGTGAATCCTTTATAAATATATATATTAAATACATTGACTTATTAAATTCCCGTATATAAAAATGATCATGTTCAGGCTTTTCAAATTAATGAACACTATCTATTAATGGATGTTAAAACTTGCCATCTCTTTTAAAGAGAGACTACTTACTATGCACCAAGGCTGTGCATTGGAGCGATCTACAGGGCTGCTGCGGGGGGAAGTGAGTCTAATGCTTTAATGGGTGCTGGTATGCCTGCATAGAAATTTAGTTTTTAAAATTACATTGTAAAAGGCCTATTGTTCAGTAGCAAAGGTTTGCATGGCTCTGCTGCTTACCAGATCTGCTATGAATCAATAGATCTGACCAGCACTCTGCTTCTTGTGATGAGCCTATGGGGGTGATGGGAGTGCAATGTGAATTTAAAACATGTGCTGGAGGGTCAGTCCTGTGACTTTGTAGCACAGAGTCCCTGGCCCAGGGTTGGTTGAGAGGCTTTTGCTATCAGCATCACATGCCTTTCAACTTTACCTGGTGGGAAGAAGGTGGGTAGTAGAGCCTAGGGATGATTAAGAGTTGCACGTACAGAGAGGATGATAAAACTGTGCTAGGAGGAAGATGTGCAGCAATCAGAGGAAGAGACAAGGCCAAGGGAGAAGGAAAGAGGAATTTCTACTGCTATATATATCCCTAATCATCTTAGTAGCCCTGGAGGTCTCCATTATGGCACTAATAGCATAGGCATGGAAGGTTGTGCTTCATTCTTGTGTGTATACAGTATACAACATGAGTTTAAGAATTCTTAACTGTGATTAGTTAAACTGGTCACACACCTGCACAAGTCATTAGCACTGAAAACTTAGGTAATTCGAACAAATAAATCAATATGTACCACAGTGTGGTAAATCACTGGCTTAGGGAAAAAAACACAGTTAAGGATTTTTGAAGTTTAATTATGTAACTTGTATATTTTAAATAAGTGATTAATGGTGAAAGGGCCATGAAATAGTTCTTCCAGTTTGTGTTCCTCTTCCCAGCTCTCCTAACCTGACACTTTCAGACCTCCTTGCTTTTCTGTATTTTTTCTTTTTTAATATTTTTGTAACCTGTTTCCCTTGTTTGCTGTTCATGCCATCTACTGCTGCTGGATACACTTAGGCTTGGTCTATTCCAGTGTTTCTCAACGACTGGTCCAGGAACCTGCGCCAGTCCCTGAGATCTCCCTGCCACAGTTTAGGAAGGCAGCAAGCTGGTCCCTGGTATCAAAGAGGTTGTGAAACACTGGTCTATACTAACTTTTGACAGTATAACTACGTCACTCAGGGCTGTGAAAATCCATACTCCTGAGCAATGCACTTATACCGACCTAACCTCTGGGGTAGACAGCACTAGATTTACATAGCTACCGCTTCTCAGGAAGGTGGAATGCCTGTGCTGACAGGGGAAGCTCTCTCGCACATGTAGTGTCTTCGCTAAGTGCTAGAGAGAAGACATTGTGCAGAATGTAAGCGAGAGCAGAATTTGGAACTAAGGCAGAAGCGCCTTTCTGAATTTGGTAATGGGAGGGTAAAAATTCCCAATTTTGTCAGGCTGTATATATTGCACGGGGGGAAATTTGCAGACATGAAAATCAGACTAACATCCATTGCATAAGACACTTTATATTTTATTCATTAAATAACTCTTACATGGCATTAGATTATTAGCTTTATTTTTTCTAAAAAGACTGCTATTTATAATTGCACTGCATGATCATTAATGTACTCTGGGGTGCATTGGAGACATTAGGCAAACACCCCTAAGCTCTAAATTGAATCAGTGCTATTCTGTTTTATTGGCTGACCACATGGAAAGAAGTGTTTACACTGGCTGTGTCTGCCTTCGGGAGAGGCGGGGGGGACTAACTTATGTATGTACTTTTTTCAGTTGTAGTTCAGGTAACTAATATTTGCCTTCAGGCAGATTATTGTTTTTACAAAAAAAAGAAAGATTATTGCTTTTTATAAAGAAAACTGATAAATGATTAAGCCCCAAACAATATAGTTACATTAGGAATCTACATATGCAGAAATCATTTGGCAGATTTTTTCCATAATGCACTCTTTAAACAGACCATTTACACAGTGTATTCTCCGCTATACTTTACCCTTCCACATTTTCAGCAACTCCAAGGTCAATTCCAGATTTTTGCACTAAATTTAATAAAGGAAACAAAACAAACATAAAACAGTGGGGCTTTACAGAAGCTAAGGATGTGACCCAGTATATTTACCCTTGTGTTGTGACAATCTTCACTTAATATTTTAGTTTTCTCTTACCCTCTCCTACTAAAAAGTCTTTTGTAGCTGAGTGTCTTTAATGATTAAGTATAATAATCCTAAACTATACTCTTCTGTATAACAATTATATAAACAAAGGTTGGCTGTAGGGGTTCAAAACAGCCACTCTTTCTGCTTGTAGTTATATGTACATGCAGCTACTGAGTATTCTGCAGATGTCTGTGTTCTGGTAGAGCCAGCCCTGTCAAAGTGCTCTGGAGTAGTTATCACTAATGCTATGAACTGTACTCTTGGAACCATGCTTATTAGAAGTCGTAACTTCCATTTCACTTACCACACTGTTAAGAATGTGAGTCTTATTCCAGTATCTGTAACAAGAATGCTTGTTTTTAGATTTTTGATGACATTACCTAATGCAGGAACATGCCACAATTGACAATAGAAAACTTGTAACTGCCTATTACATTTTGCATATGAGCAGATGGGTCTTTATAGCTTAATAAAAAAATAGAAATTCCCTAATGGACAGTAGCTGTCATTAACTACTCTTTCTATTTAAGTCCAGGAAGAGTTTTCATTTATGCTAAAATGTATTTTGCCACTCTACAGGCTACATTGTTCACAATGTCATGACTTGTTTTAATCAGTGGTTGAAGAGAGCCCTTGGGTACTTTGAACTTTGAAAACAATTCAGACTGATAAGTGGTAAACCATGATCTAAACAAATATTGCTTTCATTTTAGACTAACTGCAGTTTATCAGTGAACTAAATAAATAATTATGCATTTAAAATTTGTTTGGTTTTCTATCATTACTGGTGCAGCAGCAAATTCATGTGGTAAGCAGTGGAAAAGGGGGAAATATCTTGTAAAATGAAGAGTTTACTTTATTCACACACTTAAAAGATATGAATTTCAAAAAAACAGGTTTGTGTGGAAATGTTTTATTTTCATCTGTTTGATGTCCCTCTTGAAAAATACAACTAAAGTTGTACTTCAGCACACAGCACCAAACTTAAGCATTTTCTTTTGCTAAAATGCAATTTTGGGTTTTTCTTGAAGGGAGAGGGTAGCCATATAGTTACATCTCCTTAAACTTGTGACAGATCAATTTGAAGGTACTTAGGTTCTATTTTTTTTGGGGGGGTGGGGGCAGTAGTTTTTGTTTCTCTTATTACTCCATTGAACTCTGTGGATTACGTGAGGCCACGTTGCCCTCTAACTAGCTGAAGTTTAGAAGGAACATAAGGTTATTTCTGTAGCTGCTATTCTTTAGCTTTTGCTCAACTGATAGATGCATGTTGATTATTTATTGGGGGAATTTTAAAATATTGTGTGCAGAATTCCCCCAGGAGTACAACATGCAGAGTGAAGATAGGCTGTGCTGTTCATGCATACATGGCAATTTAGCTACTTTAGGAGTAAGCTATCAATCAAGCATATATTGATTAAAACAGCTCTGAAAGAAAAAGTTTAGCTTGGCCAGTACCACTCGCTCTCAATTTAGTAATCTGGTCATGATCTATCCCATATATTTAAAAAAACCCTCTCCACTAAAGGGGAAAAAAAAAAAGATGATAATATTGGAAAGTCTAAAATAAACATTTCAAACTAGGCAAGATTGCTGTGTGATAACCCTGAGGGAAAGTGTGAAAAGCCAGAGAGAAGGACTTTTCTTTATTTAGTAATAGTCTTGAAAATAACTTGGAAGTAGGAACCGGCCACTTTGGGTAAGCGTGAAATTATCAACCTACATAAGGCCATGGGGAAAAATACGTTTACTGTGTGAATACAAAAAATGTTTTCACAATCTATTACAAAAAATACGGACCCCCCCACCCAACAATTCATTCTAATTGTGTATCAGGTAATTGCCAAGAGTATTCAGTGACAGGGGCCGGAGGATGCTGCAGGGAGCTCTCTAAGGATTCGGGTTGGTGTGTGTCTATCACTATCCTGCACAGAGAGGGGAGGTGTGCAGAGTGCTTGTGTGTGACAGGAGGTGTTGGTTTCAGGGAGCTGAGTTACGGCAGGCAGTAGACAAAACTGCTACTTGCTAAGGGCAGGTAGTGAAGAGGTGCCTCACAATCCTGGGTACCCAGGGGGAGCATCACAGTAGTGAGCAGGGAATCTGGGAAAGAGATTGGAGCCATGGGATGCTTGCATGGTGGAGTGCAAGTCCAAATCCTCAAGTCCCTGACAGAAGGGTGAAAATGAGAACTGAATTCTAATTAAAAAAAACAAACCCAACAAACCTTGCCATTAGAGGTTAGTCCCTCCATGTTAACGCAGCTCTGCAATCAGTGCCACAATGGGCACCCCTTTAAAGCCAATGGTGAAGTGGATAATAACTTCCTTCTTATGATGGCTGCATATTCAATACAATAGTGCAAGAAATCCTGACAGCTGCATTTTCAGACTTTAAAGATTTTATTTTCAAATAATAGATAAAATATGTGTAGTTATCTCTTTAAAACATATTTTAAAACATTCCAAAAATACTCACAGAAGACACAAATAAATAAACATACTTATATTGTTTGCAGATGTTTTAAACATGATTTTGCCATCAGTCAGATGTAAAATT